AGATTTTAGGGTAGAAGCAGAGAGACCTAATCTGATGTACCTAGTGGTTGAGTTCAGTAGGTGAATGTATTGCGGGTTTAAATTAGTATGAGGTCTGAAAGAGAGGGGCATGAATCTGGAAGGGCGTTGGCGCCTGGGCACAACCGACGGAATTCCTGAAAATAGAAACGCGACAGGGAGTCAGCTATTTGATTCTTAAAACCCGGAATGTATTCGGCCGTAAGAATAAAGTTATGCGAAAGTGAGAGCCAAGTAAGACGTCGTACAAGGGGCATAAAGGAGATGACCTTAGAGCGACCCTTATTAATTATGGAAACAACAGCTTCATTATCGCACTGTTCGCACAACACTTTTATCCTCCTACGGGACCATTCCTTTCCCCATATAGCACAAGCGACTACAATGGGATACAGTTCATGGATGGCAGATGATGCTGGCATGGGATATAAAGTTACAAAATCTGCGGGCCAACACGACGCGAACCAAGAGCCTCGATAATAACCACCGAAACCGACAGAGGGTGCGGCATCCGTGTAAAAACATAGAGAGTGAGAAGTATCTGTAATTTTGTTGTAAAAAAACGAAATGCCATTCCAGTGATCGAGAAACGCGATCCAGAATTTAAGGTCAGAAAGACAGCCGTCGTTTAAAATAAGCATGTCGTGCAACTCGGAAACCGATTTAGCCAGATCGAGTAGATGCGATATAAATGAGCGACCCTGCGGGATGATGCGCATGGCGAAGTTTAAGTGCCCCAAAAGGGAAAGCAATTTGCGTTTAGAGACTGAGGAAGAGTGCAGGAATGAGTGGCAGATTTCGCGAATGCGATTCAATTTGTCTAGCGGTAGAGAAGCTTTCATTTCAATGCTGTCAAGCATGATACCCAAAAATTCCAGGGAAGTGAGCGGACCGATGGTTTTTTCCTCCGATAAGGGGATGCCTAATTCGGAAAACGTAAGTTTTAATTTGGACAGTGAGGTGCCGGGTTTTGAGGAAGGTGGATCGATCACAAGAAAATCATCGAGGAGGTGCAGGACAAAAGTGATCTGTGCTTTATTCAGAAATATCCAGGATAAGGCAGAAGCCAGACAATTAAATATAGATGGGCTGCTCCGACAACCAAAAACGAGCCGGACCGCAAAATAGAACCGAGATTGCCATTTACTGTAACACTAAACAAGGGCCATTGGGAAGGATGGATTGGAATTATTTTAAAAGCATCCGAAATATCGGCTTTAGCGAGCGAAGAGCCTTTACCCGCTAACATAATCAAGTCTATTGCGTCGTCAACCGAAGCATAATAGAGCGAAAAGGGGAGAAGAGGAATGAGGCTGTTAACACTTGCGCATGAACCGGAGCGAGGGCTAGACATGTCAAAAATCAAGCGCTTTTTTCCTGAGTATTTCCGAGTGGCTACACCGATAGGGCTTGTGCGAAAAGTAGAAAAAGGGGGAGAAAAGAAGGGGCCGATCAAATAACCTTTATTAACTTCCCTATTAAGAAGAGAGGAAACTGTTTCAGACTAAAGATTTCGCGCAACGACAATTTTGGACAGATCAGCAATAACGCCCACTTTAAAGCCTTGAGTTAAACCTGTGAGTAAATAATCCACAAAAACAAAATCAGGGTGAGAGGACAGAGCAGAGGAAAGAGCTTGGACGTGGACAAGAGTAGAAGAATGAATTTTTAGAAGGTCTTTGAATTTGAATTGCTCTTCCCTCCCCACGAAGGACGGAAATGCAATGGGCGGCGAGGGCAGACCATTTTTGGATGAGGATCCTGGCACAAACTACAAACATGCAGAAAATTACAGTTACCCCATGAACACACTCCTTCATTAAAATTATTACAAATAAGCATGTCCTTGAAATAAATGACCTCACGCCCTTTCTTGTCGGTAGCCAAATTTGCGTATGAGGTGGATGAAGGGAATGTCATGGGTTGGAGAAGACCAGAAGTCGTGGCGACAGTCGCGGAGGTAAGGGCAGATTTTGGGCAAAGTTCCGGCGAATGACCCTGATTACGGCAAAGCGAACACAGGAGAGCTTTATGTCCACCAAAATGTTGGACAAGAAGGTCGGAGTCCAGGCACGACCAGTCAATACGAGTGTTTGACAATTGAATAAGCAAAGCTGCTTTAGCTGAAAACGATTTGTGATATTCGTGAAATAGGGAGCCCCCATATCGCAAATTCAAGTCACAAATCAAAGACAGATAAGTGTCCAGATCCTTACGTCGATCCGGGAACACAGAGCAAATAACATCTCTATAGATGCCGAAGGCGACGACGAATTCGGAGATGGACAGATTACGGTGAAGCCGGGGATCCGAAGCTTTAAGTAACACGGAAATGTCGCCTCAATCTACAACACGCCTGTCACACTCGGGCAAAGGTAAAAGCAAAGAAACCAAGTTAATGTCTTTACCTTGGAGGATGCGAGATTGCATACGGGACGGCGGCGGAGGGTGATATGAATGGTCTACCAGAGGGTGCAGCCGGGACAGCGGTGGCCAGGGAGAACCTCACAGACGCCGGAGGGGCGACTGGAATGGCGGAGCCGACAGGCGGAATGGGCACCGGACGGGCAGGCACATGTGATGAGGTTTCCAAGGCGCGCAGGCGATCACCGAAGGACTCCATGGTGCGGGTCAGAGAAGAGATTGCAGAATGAACTTGCGAAGCCAAGGCGTCGGAGTCAGCAGGACGGGAGCGCTTCGGGCAAGAGGAGCGAGGTCTTGCATCCACGGGACTGTCGAGCAGGGGGGTCCAGAGAAGCGGGCAGCCTAGTGGGCGAAGAGGGCGCAGACGGCAAAGGAACAGCGGGCGCCGACGGAAAGGAGACGGCCGGTGCGAGCACGGCCGAGGAGGATCCGGGCACCCCTGGGAGGTGAAGGGCTATCTGCAAGATCTCCGAGCTGGAGAGATCGGGAGCGACGGGAATCCCCTCGTCCTCCACAAAACTCCGGAGATGCTGGTCGGACCATAGACGGATGTCCCGACTTGGAGACAGTTGAGATAGTCGCGCGCTTCTCCGCAAGGGACGGGAGGCGCCAAAACCTTCACCAAGAGCAGGTGAAGGAGAAACGAAATCCCCAAAAGGGGGCCAACCGTCGGAGTCAGACATGACCCAGACAGGGAGGAGCCTAGACAGCGGAACACAGAGCAAATCAGCGAACCGAATAGCTGTAACGGCAAAGAAATGGGTTAGACTTATTCTTTATATAGAACTTGGACCGCTGTGATTGGACATGACGACGGTCATAAGGTCTCCTTGTTTGAACTTTCGTATTTACTTTCATTTGCTGCATGATTTCTTTGCTCAGCATCCCCTCAAGGGTCAAGAGGACTTACAGAAAAAAGATCCAAAATGACTAGGATGGAAGCACAAATCACGCAGGACCCCACAACCCTCACCTGAACCCACACCAGACCAGGCCCACGAACTCCCTCAGATGTCAGCCCCAAATGACGCTCAACAGTCATCGGCCTTCCCTACCAGAGATATTGGAACAACTGAAGAAGTCCCACCTCAACTAGAAAGAGCTGCTGACTCATGCCCAGTAAGAGCACCTGATGTTGCCGTCACCAACACAGAGAACCCCCGCAGCTGCCCAACAGCACTGTCCTGGTTGTGTGCCGTGACTCAGAGCACCAATCCGACTGTGGCAACGCCTCACCAATTCCTGGCCAGGCCCCTGTGCCACAGCTCCTGGGTGAACTGGTGGAAAGGGGGGTAGTCAAAAAATTCTACCTCTCCATCACCCTGGAAGATGTTCTCACCCTCGAGGCCGTCATCGATACTGCAGCAGACATCACCCTCATGTCAGCCAGTCTCTTCTACCAGGTGCAGCACCTAGCCGCCCAGAAGAACAAAACCCTCCAGCCGAGGAAATGCTCTTTGAACGTGCAGGCATATTCACCAGTGGGCACCAGGATGGATCACATGATCCCCCTCAATTGGTCCATCTGCTCCATGAACGTAATGCACCCTGTATACATTTCCCAACTTGAGTCCATCCCTCTCCTCATTGGGAAAGATTTGCTGAACCGGTTCAAGCCATTGTTAGACTTCCAACGTCTGAAAATTTGGGCTCAAGTTAGAGAACTGCTGCCACTGTGGACAACTGACACAGCTACACGGGAATGTCAAACCCTGGCTGTCTCCTCGGACCTCACTCCACACCATGGAGAGAACGCAGCTGGAGATCAGTGTCGTGACACGAGAGACCCATGCCCGCATCATGACTCCTTTCTGTGCAGGTTGGACCCTACCCCAGGATCCTTCCGCCTCCAGATCAGGAAAAGCATTCGGCTCCAAGGCATGGAAGTCACAGATGTGGTAATGACCATGGAGGTAGAAAAATCACCAGTGACAAAAGGGACTGTATGTCACGTGGAGCTTACTGATAACCAACACCTGACAATCCATGCTATAACTGCCCAGCCTGACGCAGTACAGTCACCCAGCTACCAAAACTATTCTCCGGAGGGATCAGCAGCACCCAGCATTCAGGACACATTGACGCCAATGAAACCTTCGCAACACCACTACTGTGATGAAAATGTCTATCAAGACATGACCACCGTTTATGTGGATGGGTGCGCATTCAAACATCAGGGGCATGAGCTAGCATTCCGTGGCTCAACGACGACCTCGTCCCACCACAACAGTTCAAGCTCGGTCCCCACACGTCACAGTACGCAAATCTCGCAGCAATCTTAATCGCCCTGGAGGTGGCCTCCGAACATGAAGTAAAGGACCTGCTGATCTGCACGGACTCCGACTACACACGTCTCAGCTTCATGTGCCATCTCCCTCACTGGAAACTGAATGGCTTTAAGACTTCAGGGAACAAGCCAGCCAAACATCAAGACCTCCTGCAGGTGTGCGATGCTCTGATTACCGCACGAAACATGCAGATCTATTGGAAGACGATTTGCGGTCACTCCAGACTCCCAGGACTGGACAAGACATACGGTGACCACACGGATGCACTCGACAAAGCAGGAGCACTGCATGGTGACTCATGAGAATTTTGTTCCCTCCCACCCACCCATGCTGTCCAGGTCGTCACCCACAGCCACAGCCGAGCACCTGCCTCGCCGCCAGCGGCCTCACTGCTGGAAGTTTACCTTCAGGTCTCCAACTCTGACATCATCTCCCTCCAGTCCACTGATGCTGTGCTCAGCAAGGTCTGCGATCACCTCCGCAACTCCACTGCTAACTCGATCTCCACAACTGATCAGGCATCCCTTCCTGACCTCCATCACCTGATGATGGCTTTACCCTTTCTTCATCTGGCCGAGGACATACCTCTTGATGTCCCTGACGCCCACACTTCACCACGGCTCGTGGTCCCTCAGGCACTACGGGGGTCATGCTATTGTACGCCCACGATGCACCCTGTGCAGGACACCGCAATGCCAAAACAGCCTACGAGGCACCCAAGAAACATGCCTCAAGTGGGTTCATCGGAATCAAATCAAGAAGTACCAAGCCCAGAGAAAGCCTGAAATACCCACCAACCAGTCTTCTCTGGACAGCGCTCAAAACGAAGCCGGCAGCTTGGAATAAACCACATTCCAACCAAAAGGAGGACAACTTTTCAGTCTGAAATCTCCTCAAACTCCCAAGGAGAAAGACTAAAGAGAAAGGGGAGGAAAGAAGGTCACAGATAGGGTAGACCAGGTGGTGGACTTGACTACTGATATCTGGGTGACCTTGATGTTTTTGTTTAACTGTTTGTTTGTTTTGAGAACTTTTCATTTTATTTGGTTGTTGTTTTTGGTAAGGACCTGGGGTGGCTCACGTGTGCCCGGGAAATTACTGAAGAGGATCCGGTTTTGCACTTTTCTTTGTCCTGTTTGTTTCTTTGCAATTGTTCTCTGGCTGAGAATTGTTGCCCACTATACTTTCTCCCTGTTCTCTTTGCACCGGTGTGCACAACATTCAGAGTCTCGACTCACCCCCTCACTCCTAATCTGGTCTTTACTTTCTATCCCCCTGCCACTAGGATGATGCTGTCCCCGCCACTAGCGTTACTCTGGCTAGGAGGGGTGAGGCCCCAGTCCGACACGGCGTTCCCTGGGCGTCCACCCGGCACCGTCTTCCGGGGACAGCCCGGTCCCTTGATTACCAACTGGTGTACCCACACAGAGAAGTTTCCCAACCAAGCCCATTACCTGCGCAAGAGACCCCAAACCAGCTGGGTGGGTGTCCGATGGACTCAGGATGCCCTGCATCATGCTGCCGCAGACACTACCCACAGGTGGGAGCAGTTACCCAACGACTGTGACCCAAGCTGAGTCCAATCAACTACCCAAGAGGCTCCTGGGCACCCTGCTGGGAGCTGCAGCAGCCGTTGGCACCCTGTTCGACATAGGGTTCACCACTCCTCGCAGTCCCAGAAGCCAGGCCTCCCTGTCTATCCTGTCACTGTGCCACCCAGAGTGCCCAACAATGGGATGTCAACAATGCCTCATTGCATGGTGGTGATCCTGTTTCAACTTCTGTCGCCTGAATGATGGCAATGCCATTATCAGCCAAAAGGGGGGATATGTAGGATCACACATGCACATATCACAGGGCCTAAATTCCAAGTGGCCTGAGACCAGGCCGAGCCTGGTACGAGATGTAACAATTAGCCTAGGCACCAAAGGGGGGTTAGTGACCCCACACACATAAACACACTTAAACACACACACACACACACACAGATAACAAGGGAGGCCAGTACTCCAACTTTTATTGCCCAAAGATTTAGGGATCTACAGACAGCAGAGTGGACCTCAAGGACAGGGGTCCCTCGACTTGGCACACAACCCCCTCCCCATACATCCTGCCTTACATACCACTCACCCAACAGACCAACACCCTAAAGGAAGTTTCATTTAAGTTTGGCTTTTGCATACCCTGTATATTGATTTACTCACGACTACTAGTCTCAATATACAGATAGGTTATGTTTGTATGTGTCCTTAGACAATCTTAGTGTTTTGTGTGCCACCCTTATAACCATGTTCACGGAGTATCACCTATTTGCACTTGAACACATATAAATTTAAATAAATAGATAGGTATAGCCACTATACTTTCATTGTATATATGTTCTCATGGTATACCAGAAGAATCTGGAAAATTAGTGTAACCAATGTGTC